AAAAAAAAAAAAAAAAAGAAGCTCCCACAGGCACAGGAATTCTCCTCTGCTCAAGCAGAGTATTTTACCCATACCTGTTTAAAATAGGCTGTGGTGAAGTTGCCTCCCTCAATGGCCATGTCTCCCAACATTCTCTTCTGATTTGCCTTTTTCAGAATGTTTTCCTCCACAGTCCGTTCACTAATAAGCCTAGGAGACAGAAGCCAGGTGAAAACAGTCAAATATATCAAGGAAATCCTGTCATATAAACGGATGTAAACCAGGCATGGTGACACATGCTTGTACTCCTAGCACTCAGGAGATTGAGGCAGAAGGATCACTGTGTGTTTTAGGCCAGCCAGATCTATATAGTAAATTCAAATCCAGCCTGCAAAGTGAGACCCTGTCAAGAAAAATAAAAATGGATGTAAGGTGAAGAAAAACTGAACAATACCTATAGATGTGAACATCTCGAGTCTGGCCAATTCGATGACAGCGATCCTGGGCCTGAGCATCCATGGTAGGATTCCAGTCGCTGTCATAAAAAACAACAGTGTCTGCTCCTGTCAGGTTCACGCCCACACCCCCACTTCGAGTTGAAAGGATGAAGCAGAATATGCGTTTGTCTGCATTGAACCGTTCCATCAAGGCCTAGAGGGAAAGGAGAAAAAAGATTGTATTGGGAGGCATATCCCTAAAAATGGTACAAGGCTTAAAGGGGCCCAATATGGAAGTTTAACGCTTGAGAAAAGGAGAGAAAAGCTGAGATGATCTTCTAAAAAAGGGCTTCAGCCTTGGTTACCTGTCTCTGTTCAACTCTAGTAGATCCATCCAGACGCAAGTACAGGTGGCCATGGTAGGTAAGAAACTGCTCCAATACATCTAGCATTCGTGTCATCTGGGTGAAGATAAGCACTCGGTGGCCCTCTGCCTTGAGCTGCCGTAACAGCACTGCCAAAGTCTGCAACTTTCCTAAAGAGATATTAAGGGGTACAGGGAGCTAGCTATAACCTGGAATATGAAGAATACTTAGCACTGGAAGGCTATCTAGTTGAAAGGCAATCAAGCTTTAGGCCTAGAGAATCAAAAAACCTGAACTCCATATGGTCCATCTCTTGAAAGTTCCCTTGTTCAGAGTGCTTCTGCCTGGGAACTTGTCTGTGTCTAATTAGTACAGAAAGATACTGACAGGGCCAGGGAGGTGGCTCAGTAGAATAAGCACTTCCCTGGCAAGTGCAAGGGCCTGAGTTCAACCCCCGGTTCTGGAAAAAAAAAAAAGATACTGACAGACCACTGGTGTATGTGTGGTGGGGAGGGACGGGGAGAGGCCTGTGATGTAAGAATCCTCAATGATTTAAGAACATGAGAAGCGCAGGGACCAGGGTTTGATCCCTGCAACCAAATGCTGTTCTGGCCTTGCTCCAAGGCATGCTGAGCTGGCCACTGAAACAGGCTTGGTGGAGCATGCCTGTAATCCCAGTGCTGGGGAGGCTGAAATCAGGAGGATTACTATGAGTCCTAGCTGCATAGTAAGACCCTGTAACAAATACATTAAAAAAAAAAAAAACTGTAATTAATAAAAGATTTTAAAAAATGGTAAAAAAAGAAAACAAAAAACCATGAGATTTGTGAGTGTAAGAGTCATACTAGTCAGAACCAGAAGAGCCACAGGATAGACATCAACAAGTCTATGGTCATGGCTTTCTCAAAGGTGTTATCTAGCTTACTTCCCATCAAACACAGAAATGACTCCTAAACATTTCTGATACATTTGAACATTTTTAAACTTATGGGGGGTCTCACCACGTTGCCCAGGATGGCCTTGAACTCCTGCTACAACTTCCCAAATAGCTGTGACTACAGGTAGAAACACCAGGCCTTCTTTCTTTCCATGCTGAGTATTAAACCCAGGATTTTTCAAATGCTACGCAAGTGCTCTACCACTTATCTATAACCCCTAACCTAGTTTGAACACTATTAACAGACTTTGAATTTATCACTCTGAATTGTTTCAAATGCAAAAAACAATTGTTAGCTGAGTGTGGTGACATAATCCTATCATTTCAGAGGCTGAGGCAGGAGGACCACGATAAATTTGAGGCCAGTCTGGACTACATAATGAATTCAAGGCCAGTCTAAACTACATAGCAGGGCCCTATCTCAAAAATAAATAAATAAATGAGTAAATAAATGGAAAGAATGAAGTAAGCCAGGTGTGATAGTACATGCCTATAATCCTAGCACCTGGGAGGCTGAAGTAGGAGGACTGCAATAAACTCAAGGCCAGCCCATGCTCTATATTGAGTTTAAGACCATCTTAAAACAGAAAAATAAAAAAGCAAAGTACGTGGTGACATGTACCTCTAATCTTAGCACTTGTGAGGCTAAGGTAGGAGGACTGGAACTGCTCAAGGCTAACCTGGATTATACATTAGGACTCTTGACCCTATGTCAAAAAAGTGTGAGGAGGGGAGCACATACTAAGCATGCTGCCAAGTGGTGTGATACTCCTAAAGGTGAATTTTTTTAAAAAATTATTTATTTATTTTATTTTATTTATTTATTTTTTTTCCAGAACCGGGGATTGAACTCAGGCCCTTGCACTTGCCAGGGAAGTGCTTATTCTACTGAGCTATCTCCCCAGCCCCTTATTAATTTATTTTTTAAGAGTAGTATATATTTATTGTGGGAAAGCAAGCTTCTGTCCGAGAGACAATGTATTTTTTTTTGTTTTCTTCTTTCCAGTACCAAGGACTGAACCCAGGACCTTGCACTTGCCAGGCTGGCACTTATGCCTCTGAGCTATATCCCTGGCCCTGACATTTTTTTTTTTTTTTTTAATTTTTTTTGTTTATTTGTGTGTGTGTGTAGCCAGCTCAGCCCACCAGGAGGCGGGGCTGGCTGGCATGTGGTGCTGGGGGATTGAACCGCGGTCCCTGTGCTTTCTTGCTAAGCTTGTTCTAAGTAGGTGCTTTAGACCACTGAGCCATCTCACCAGCCCCTGACAATGTATTTTTGAGACAGGTTCTCATTATGTATTTCAGGCTGGCCTAGAACTTACAGCAATCCTCCCCTCTTAGCCTCCCCAGTGTTGCAGTAACAAGTGTGCACCACCACACCTGGCTTTTATTTCAATAACTAAACCCCTGCTCTCTATGGAAGTCTTAATACTGCTACAAAGAAACAAGCAAGAGACTGAAAATCTAAAAGTTACAGATGACAGACAAACGTAAAAATTAGAAGGTCTCTGATGCAAAACAATACAAAATTGTGATAAGGAAAAAAAAAAGGTCTCGGATGCATAAAGGTACTACATTACTGAACCATTCAATTCTATACCAAAAAAGTTAATGAAAAGAAAATCCATCAAAGGCCTATAAGACTCATTTTTCCCATATACAAATTTTTTTTTTCTTTTTAATGTGTTTTTTTACAGAGTCTCACTACACAGCTCAGACTCACAGTGATCCTCCTGTTTTCAGCCTCCCCAGTGCTGGGATTACAGGCATGCACCACCAGGCCCGAACTCAGTGGCCAGCTCAGGTGCCCGTAAGGCACACAGTACCCAGTACCTGAGTTGCCTGAGCAGGTGCTTACTCCACTGAGCTATCTTGCCAGCCCTTATATGCATGATCTTAAGAACAATGATTTGTAGAAACCTTTAGAGATGGGATATGCAGCACCTCTGATGCAAGTGTCTGTGTGTGCACATGTGTGTTGGTGGGGGCACATCACAAGATAACTTGCTGAGCTGCATCCCCTGGCCTTTCTTCTGGTACCAGAAATCAAACTCAGCACCTTACTGGCCAGGCAGGTGCTGTGTTGCTGAACTGCATCTCTGGCCCCATTTTTAATTTTGAGGCAGGGCCTCACAGTCACTGAGTTGCCAAGGCTGGGCTGGACTTCTGTAATAATCTTGCTGCATCTTCTCAGAATTACACACATAGGCAACCATAACTAGTTGATATAAAAGTCAAGGTACCATGAAATGAAAAGAAGTCATGGGATCTTTACTGCTTAATGAACTCACCGCAATCATACTGGATAAGTCTCAAGTCAGGGAACTGGGTGCGCATGTTACACACAATACGGTGCAAAGGACGAGCCCGGGGCCACAGCTCACAGGCCAACTGCTCCTGGAAGGCTGCCTGCCGTGGGGCCAGCCAAGGAGGTGGATGACAGGCATGAAGGGATGGGGGAGGTGCCTCCACAGGAGGCATGACAAAGATGAATCTGTGAAAGGAAAAAGGCAAGCAGTATAAAGGATACAATTCTCAAACACCCATCAGTTAGCATCTTTACCAGCCCTAAGCACTATATCCACTATGAGGCCCCAAGCCCTGATCCCTTTTAGCACTTAGCCTGCCAACCTCTCAATGATTTCTGACAGCTGGTCTAGTCGCTGCTGGGGTAACAGTACAGCCTGTTGGGCAGCCTCGGTATAAGTCCAAAAGGTGGGGTGGCTGGGACCAGTAGAACGAGGGCCGATGGGGCTGGCAACAGGTTGGGGCAGGGTACAGAAATCCAGGACTTCAGTCCCATACATGGGTGCCAGGGCCCCATGAGCCTCACTAAGTTGGAAAATCCTTTCTAGGCGTTCAGACCGCTGCCTCTTCCTCTTTTCCTCCAGTGAGTCCTAGAAATAAGAGAGCATCACACAGAAAATAATCACTGTCAAGAGCTTTCATCAAAACATCCATTATAGAAAACCGGACAAGTCTTCCCAGATGAAAATTAATATAGTCTATAAAAACCGTGACACTCTGGAGGCTGAGACAGGAGTAATGCAAATTTGAGCCTAGCCTGGATTACATAGTAATTTTAAGAAAAGACCTTACAATGTAAGAAAATATCTCAAAAAACAAAGTAGTAGCCAGACATAGTGGCACACACCTACAATCCCAGCACTAGGGAGGGTGAGGCAAGAGGATTGCTGTGCATTCAAGGCCAGCCTGGGCTACACAGTGAGACCTTGCTTCAAAAAAAAAGAAAAAAAAAGAAAAAAAGAAACCATAAGACTCCAAACATATACTATGATTTTTATAGTTTTTCAAGCTTTAATAGTCATTCCTTTTATAATGTCAAATGAACTCTATAAGGTAAAACATTTTCTCTTGTATGCTACCAAAACAGAATACTTCAAGATTTAAGATCTGTATATCCACAGGGCTGGTGAGATGGCTCAGTGGTCTAAAGCACCTACTTGGAACAAGCTTGGCAAGGCACGGGGACCACGGTTCAATCCCCCAGCACCACATGCCAGCCGGCCCCACCCCCCGGTGGGCTGAGCTGGCCACACACACACACACACACACACAAGATCTGTATGTATATCCAACAACTCATAGCATGGACAATTTGAGAATCTTAGCACTTAAGATTCAACTGAAGCCAGGTATAGTGGTGCACACCTGTAATCCCAGCACTTGGGAGGCCTAGGCAGAAGGATCGCTTCAAAGGGCCAGGGAGATAGCTCAGCAGCATAAGCACCTGCCTGGCAAGTGCAAGGTCCTGAGTTTGATCCCTGGTACAAACCCCCCCCCCAAAACAAACACAACAGGAGGTTCACCTCAAGTCTGGGCTCCATAGTGAGTTCAAGCCAGCCTGAACTACATACCCCATCTCAAAAACAAAGACTCAATACCAGTGCTAGCTTTAACAGCACATACACCTAAAAAACAGTAATAACTATCTAAGTAGTCCTGGCATCAGTACTTAAACTGCATTATTTAGTGCAAGTATGTATTACTGACCAAAAATGCTGTCTTCCAGGTGACCTGTGGAAATAGTTCCCTATCCTCTGACCCAGAGAGCCCAACAAAATCATGTATAAATCAAGAGGCTAAAATCTTCATATTCAGGACCAGCAAGGGAGCTCAGCAGACTAAGTGCCTGCTTAGGCAAACACATGTACCACATGCCGTGCTGGCCCTGCCCCTAGACATACTGAGCCAGCCACCAAGAGTACAGGCCTGTAATCCCAGCACTGGAGAGGCTGAAAATAGGAAGATCACTTCAAGTCCGAGCTGCTTAGTAAGACCCTATACAAAATATATTTAAAAAAACCCTTCATGTTCACTGCCCAGGCTATCAAGGGTATGCATGTCCGAAAGGCCACCAAATATCTGAAGGATGTCACATTTAAAAGAGCACTGCAGGGAGCCAGGGAGATGGCTCAGTGGAATAAGCGCTTCCCCGTTCAATCCCTGGTTCCGAGGGAAAAAAAAAAAGCACTGTAGCACCACCGAGATAGCTCAGTAGACTAAGTGCCTGCTTGGGCACGCACAGGGACCAGAGTTTGATTCCTGGCACATGCCACATAGGCTCTGCCCCCAGGCACACCACCAAGTCTGGGCATAGTGGCTTGTGCCTGTAATCTCAGCACTGGGGAGGCTGAAAACAGGAGAATCACTGCAAGTCTGAATCCAAGTCCAAGCTGTGTAGTGAGACCCTGTACCAAATACATTTAAAAAAAAAAAAAAAAAAGTGTTGTGTGCCACTCTGGCTATTCTGGCATTACAATGAAATTAGTAGGTGTGCCTGGGTCAGACAGTGAGCTTAGATACAGCATCAGAGCCCAAAAACAGTGCTGCATTTTTGCTGCACATGCTGAACAATGCAGAGTAATGCTGAATGTAAGGTTTAGAAGCAGACTCTCAGGTCATTGAACATATATCCACGTGAACAAAGCACCCGAGATGTGCCACCATACTTACAGAGCTCATGGCCAGATTAACCCATAATAAGCTTTCCTGCCACATTGAGATGATCCTCAGTGAAAAGAAACAACTGTTCCTAAACCAGAAAATGAAGCTGCACAGAAGAAAAAGATATCCCCAAAGAAACAAAAACCTGTGGCACGGAAATAAAGCATAAAATAAGTGTAAATAAAAGGCAAGAAAGAAAGAAAGAGAGACAGAGACAGACATAAAGAAGAAAGAGAAAAAAAGAAGAAAAACAGAAAGGAGACAGTGTGATCCAGTTCCAGTAATCTAACTTTTTTTTTTTTTTTTTGTGGATTTTCCTTTGGTTCTGTTGGTGATTTCTAAGGTTTTTGTTTTTTTTTTTTTTTTTGTACCAGGAACTGAAATCAGGATTTTGTGCTTGCCAGAGAAGCACTGTCACTGAGCTATATTCCCGGCTGGTCCTCTTAACATGATTTTTTTTGGTAAGTTCAAAACTATCTGAAGCCTTCCTCAGCCTGGGAATGTCAATCAATTGTTGAGTGCTTACCGTATGTGTCTGGGCCTGGGCCTCATCTCCAGCACTGTCGAAATAACAAGCTGGGTACAATGGCACAAAACTGTAACCGTAGCACTGAGGCAGTTACAGCTGAGGCAGGAGGATGGCAAACTGAAGTCCTAGCTGAGCAATTTAATAAGACTAGTATCTTAATATTTTATTTATTTATTTTTAAAATTTAAAAAAATTTGAAAATAAAAGTCGAGGATGTAGCTCAATGTAAAGGTCTTGGGTTTAAGCTACAGTAATGACAAAAACAAATGAAACAAAAGAGAACTTATGATGCTTGTAGATTTTACATCTGTATATTGGTTCTTTCAATGAAGTAAATAGATGCTGAGTCAAAAAGCCAAAAATCAGACTGGGGATACAGTTCAGCAGGTGCCTGGCAAGTGCAAAGTCCTGAGTTTCATCCCCAGTACCAGGGAAAAAAAAAAAAAAAAGATGTAGTATACAATAGAGCAATTGTCTAGCTCGTGCAAAGCCCTGGGTTCAATCACCAGTACTGGTAGGGAATGGTGTTACACTCTGTGGTCCTAGCACTTAAGAAGCTAAGGCAAGGACTGGCCAGATAGCTCAATGAATTAAAGCATTTCACAGGGTTCAGGGGTTTGATCCCCGATGTGCATGCCAGCCCCACCCCTGGGGTGCACTGAGATAGTGATTGAGATTGGGTGTGGTGGAGTGGGCCTACAACCCCAGCACTGGGAGGCTGTAAACAGGCGGATCAAGTCTGATCTAGTAGTGAGATCCTGAACACCCTGTAGACCCTTCCCTAAAATACAATAAATAAATAAATGAGCAAATAATTCTTTCTGGGCCAATAGAAAAGTTCGAAAACTCATTATGGTAGTCAGGCTTGGTGCTCCATACCTGTGACCTCAGCACTTGGAGGCTGAGGCAGGACTGCCACAAGTTCGAGGCCAGCCTTGGCCACACAGTGAGTTCAAGGGAAAGATGAACTACATAGGGACACCATGTCTCAACCCCACCACCACTACCACCAATCACTGTGGTCATCATGCCACAACTCTGTGAATATACTAAAAAGCTGCAGGGCACAATGGCAAACACCTCTAATCCTAGCTACTCAAAAGGCTAAAACAGGAAGATCAAAAGTTCAAGGCCCGCCTGGGCAACTTAGTAAGACTTTGTCTCAGAATTAAAACTAGAAAAAAGCTGGAAATGTAGCTCAGTGTGATACCTTTGGGTTCACTTTCTAGTACACAGAAAGGAAAGGAGGATGAGGGGAATAGAACAGGAGAACAGAATAAGAGGGGAGAAAAAGACAAAAAGAGAAACTAAACTACCAAATTAGCTGAGCATAGTAGAGTACATCTCAGGGAAACTGAAGCATGAGGATCCCTGTCAGGTGAAAGCCAGTTTAGGCTTACAAAATGTGAGTTCAAGGTCATCCTGAACTCCATGGCGCCAGGGTGAAGTCCCATCTCAAAAAGAAAACAAAATGGGGCTGGGGAGATGGCTCAGTAGAATAAGCAAATTGCTTGCCTGGCAAGCACAAGGGCCTGAGTTGAATCCCTGGTTCTGCCAAAAAAAAGAAAAAAAGAAAAAAAAGAAAAGAAAACAAAACAAAAAACAAAACCCCCACCAAATTCCACTTGCGGGGGAGGTGGTAATGCCAGTACTCAAACTCAGGGCCTTGTGTATGCTAGGCAAGCACTCTTATCATGAGCTACACCCCAGTCCCAAAACGTAAGTTCACATTATAAAGTAGTAAGATAAGCTATGCCATATATATCTCAAACTGTTTAAAGAAAAATTCAGTGGCAAGAAGCTATTACTTGCAATCAAAATTGAGCAGACTATTGGCTGCCACCCTTGGTGAGGATCTAGGCTCTAACACCCCTTTTTAATAAGACCAGTTCTCACTGTGCACACTAAACCACCATTAAATCTGCCATGATCCTCATGTACACACCACCACATCTATGCCTACCCTTTACAACTTCAACAACTCAGAATCAACCTGGCAGCATTAGGAAAAGACCAAAGGTGGAGTCAGTAGAATTGTGGAGGCTCAGCAAAGAATAAGCAGCAGCTCTAAAGCAGAGTAAGAAAAGAAAAACCTTACACTGACTCACCGGACCTTTCTTACTAGCTTGTAAATTATTTTACTCCAAGTTGAGTTGTTAAGCTTTACACATAGAACTAAATACATCAGATAGGGGAAAATACGGGTTCAGAAAGTTCATAAAAAGACAAGGGGGGTTCTTTTTCATTGTTTTTTTTTTTTAAAGAGGCTAGGTATATAGTGAAGGCTGGCCTTGAACATCCTATGTAGGCCAGGCTGGGCTCAAACACAAGTTCCTCCTGCCTCAGGCTCCCAAGTGTTGGGGTTACAGGCATGCACTAACATGCCTAGCAGAGAAGTTCCTTTATTGCCTATTTATCACAAATTGAGAGTAAAAGAAACTCTGAAGAAGAAGAAGAAGAAAAAAAAAGAAACCTTGAAGAGAAGGGTTTGGCCATAGTGACACATGCTTGTAATGCTAGCACTTGGAAGTCTGAGGAAGAGGTTAGTTGAGTTTGAGACCAGCCTGGCCAATATAACAACACTGTGCCCTCACCAATAAAAAACTGAACAGAAGAACACTTAGCCAACAAAAATAGAAGTGACTAGGGCCAGGGATACAGCTCAGTGGCACAGTGCCTGCCCAGCAAACACAAGCTCCTGAGTTCAATTCCCAGTACTGAGGGGAAAAAAAAAAGCAATAAACAGAAGTGATTATCAAAGTTAGAGACATGTGAACAACAGGGAATTCTATTTGATGGTACTACCCATCCTTATGTTAACAAGTAAGCTATTGCTGTATCTGAAGACTACCACTTCTGTGTTCTGAAGAACTGTGTGATGGTGCCAGCAAGATAGCTCAGGGGTCTACTGTGCCTGCTTAGGCACGCTTAGGCAGGTGCAGGGAACTTCGGTTCAATCCCTGAAATCATATGCTGCGCCAGCCCCACCCCAAGGGTGGGCTGAGCCAGCCAAAAAGAAAAAAACCCCAAAAAACAAAAACAAAAACAAAAACCAACCTGTGTGATCTGTGGGCCTGGCATATAGCTCAGTGGCACAGCAACTGCCTGGCAAGAGAAAGGTCCTGGCCGGGGAGATGGCTCAGTGGAGTAAGCGTTTCCCTGGCAGGCGCAAGGACCTGAGTTCAATCCCCGGTTCCACAAAAAAAAAAAAAAAAAAAAAAAAGAGAAAGGTCCTGAGTTCAATTCCCAGTACTTAAAAAACAACAACAACAACAAAATAAAACCTGACTGTAAACTGTAGGACTTTCAGAGCCACACAAAGTAACCCACACTTGTTGGGATTACAGGCTTGAACTAAACCTGGGAAATAATAACTTAAGAGAAACTGTTACTCAAATCTAAAAACATAAAAAGGGCTGGAGATGTAGCTCAGTGTAAAGGTCCTGGGTTCAACCCCCAGTGGACTAATTAACTCATCTATCAAATGGTGCAATTATGGGCTGGGGATTAGGCATGTGCAGGGACTGGGGTTTGGTTCCCAGGACCACATGCTATGCCAGCCCCACCCCTCGGCTAGCTGAGCCAGGCCACTGAGAACAGGCATGGTGGCCTGCACCTGTAATCCCAGCACTGGAAGGGCTGAAAACAGGAGGCTCACTACCAGTTTGAGCTGTGTAGTGAAACCCTGTACCAAACACATTAAAAACAAAAAAAGATGCAATTATACACTAACAGTAATGCCAATAATCAGTAATTTTAAATCAGGTGCAGTAGTGTACACTGGCACATTCAACACCAGTCTGAATGATCACATAGTGAGACTGTCTCAAAAAAAAAAAAAAGCTGGCTAGGGTGGCACACAATTAATCCCACCACTCAGGAGGCTGAGGCAGGAGGAATACTGTGAGTTCGAGGTCAGCCTGAACTCCATAGCGAAACCCTGCCTCAAGAGTCAAGACAAGGGCTGGGGACATAGCTCAGAAGAATAAGTGCTTATGTCACTGAGCTGTGGTACCAAGGAATGAACTCAGGACCCTGCGCTTGCCAGGCAAGTGTGAGGTCCTGAGTTCTGTCATTTATAACAACATGGGATATACAGGCTTAAAAGCACACTTTTTCTT